GCCCTGCTGGTGTGTTAAGGGCAGTTTGTGAGGGTGAGACAGCACCTCAGCCTGAGAATGTTTATTACATTTAACTCATCTTTCATTTAGAGAAAAGAAATATCTACTGATTTAGTCAGAAGTGATGAGATGGACAGATGTAAACTTAGAAATGTCAGCGGTCAGTCTCAAATCCTCTTTCAGTAAGAAGGAGGAATGCTTCCCTCTCTCCCACTCCTTCCATCACATACAGAGGCCATCATGTCAGAGGCTAAAAGGGGAAGTAAAACTGATATCACTTCCTTTTCTTCTCACTGTCTATAGAAATATGAATGCAACCATGCTCAGGTTCGCTTGAAGTTTTCACACATTCTCCTCTGAGGTTGATCACTGACAGGACACATTTCAGGCTGCTCAGTGAAGGATATACATGTCTCCTGTTGGGTGAAGTAGAAAAGTTTGTCTTGAAGCCGGTGACTGGATCAACAGAGGCTGAACACAGAGGAGACATGAAAGCTGTGGTTGGATTGTTGTTGATGCTACTCCGAGTCTGTCATGGTGAGCTGTAAAACAACACATTAATATTTGATTTAATATTATGTGAATACAATGTTTTGTAACTTTTTGTACAGATATTGGTTTCAAGAGTAGTAAAGACACTTTCCTCAGTAATGAGTAATGCAGATCAAATACAGGCTGGAGACACCTGTTGGTTCTGAAGAAATGACAGCTTCTTTACATATAAATATCAACTACACTGTTTGAAGCTGGTATCAAAGCTTTTCTAAGGTTCAGTCACTTTAAAGAAAAAGACTAGTTATGTCAAGGAAAATTTACAAATCCAGAGATCGGTTTCACTTCATTATGTGTACTGTAAAAATAACAGTCATACTTTTTGGATCAAAGCACGTCATCTCTGACAGTTCAGATATGTAATTACTCCAATGAACGCTGACTTTCCTGAGGTCATGTGAATGTTTAACAAAAACACTGAATGACATTGTACCCAGTCTTCGCATTTATATCATGCCTGTACTGAAACTATGTTTTCATATCTTTCATATAGTCACTATACAAATGATTTAGAGTTAAACTATTTTTATCAAGCACATCATTTAATACATTTTCCCCAAATACAGCCTGATACATAATTTGGTATCAATGGGAGAGTTGGAATCTCTGCTATGGCTTAAAGTTAAGGTCTGTGTGAAAGAAAAAAAACACAGCATGAGTTGGTGATGACTGGATGAGATCAACTGAAATTAAAAAAAATATATATATTGCCGCATGAACCATCTGTTAGCAACTGTTTTGCAGTTAAAGACCTGTGTAACGCTCAGCTACACAACAATAATAATAAAAATAATTATAATGTGGTCTGAGAGACAAAGCTGCACCAAAGCCACTATTATTATCATTACTTTATTTTTTGTTGTTGTGGGGTTTTTTTGTTTGTTTGTTTTTACAATATTTCCATATGCCTAAAATACTGTCATGGTCATTCCTTTTGTAGATATTAAGTGATCAAAATTATGATTAGTAAAAAATTGTTTTTTATCTTTTTAAATTTCCAGGTGTGGAAACCTCCTGTGATGGCAGACCGAATGGAACTCAGTGTTATGGAGCTTTGGGAGGAACTGTGGTCCTCCGGCTGATGGACAGCGCCTCAGAAATATTTCAATACCATTGGTCAAACAAAACAACACGAATACTCTATGGAAGAAAGAATCAGATTGTGTCTAATGAGATAGAAAACAGATCATCATTTACTCCCAGTGATGGAACATTTAGGATCAGTAACCTGAGCTGGAATGATAGCGGGGAATATAAACTTGCAATCTTTGATTCAAATGGATGGATATCAGAGCTACGGACTCTACATTTGACCATTCAAGGTAAATAGCTTTTTTACTGGGAAATTTGGTAACAGTGTTTGACATACATGTCATATTCTATTGCTAAACTATATCTCATATTCTACATATGTATCGATGTGTGGCATGTTCTGTATCAAAAACTGTAAAAAAAAAAAATATATGTGTTTCCTTCAGCTCCTGTGTCCTCTGTCCTGCTGGTCTCTGAGTGTCTGTCCCAGGGAGAGATGAGGGTGTCCTGCTCCTCTGAGGGAGGGGACAGTCCTCAGTACAGCTGGACTCTGGATGGACACACACTGACAGACGCTGAGCTCCTCTCTGGAAACACTGAGACCACCAACATCACTCTGAAACAACACGTCTCAGGACAACTGGTCTGCTCAGTCAGGAATAATGTCAACAGTGTCTCAAAAGAAATGAAGATTACTAACTGTGGTGAGTGAAAACATGAGTAATAAACAGTTTGATGATTATGACATTGATGATTAACTGTACATCAGTCATTGATGTGTTTCTTTCCTTCAGGCTTCATATTCATTAACTGCACCTTACCCAATGCGACACACATATCACAGTGGGTGTTTGCAGCCAATAACACCCTGTGTATTGAGCCAACAACAACTCCTACCACAACCGCAGCAACATCCACTGTGGGTAAGGAGACTGTCAGCATACTTCACACCACCACTAATATCACATCCTCCAATCAAACTGTGACTCCCCCCAGCAATGATGGCCCATGGTATAGTAAGTGAAAACAAACTCTGCTGCAGTTAATAAAGTCATTTCCCCCTTTTTTCTTTATCTGTCTCCAAAAAACCACCTGTAGTGACTGCTAACATTAAAATATCTGTGTCTCTTGTGTTTTTTTGTTATCGAAACAGGCAACTTGCCGGTAATGGCCGGGGTACTCTCTGCACTGGTGCTGCTGTTACTGATCGGCGTGGCTGTCATCTGTTCTCAGAGGAAAAAGAAAAACAGCAAACCTAAAGGTTCAAAACAAAACTTCCTTTTTCTAACCCATACTGTATTCACAGTTTCTCTATTCACAGATTCAAGAATAGTCTGACATTTTGAGCTGTGCATGTAGGGTGCTTCTTGCAGAGAGTAAGATGAGAAGCTTCAGGCCACCGTAATGTTTGTTAGTTAGCCACGAAGCTGCCGTTTGCCGGTTAACTTCAGAAGAAAGACTGGAAGCAGGAGACAGCAGCTAACTTTGCTCTGACCAACAGTAACAAAAACCACCTACCAGCAAAGTCTAAAACTCCTTAATCAATGCTTTATTTTATAAAATAGAAAACTTTAGAGGTAGATTTTTAAAATAAATTTTGGACAGTCAGGTCGTCTGTTTTCCCCTGCTCTTCCAGTCTTTGTGCTAAAGCTAACCATCTGCTAGCATAACGGTAGCTTCTCATTAACTGACAAACTTCACAGTGATAGAAATTTTTTTTGTCTTACTGTTGTCGGGAATATAATTCCCAAAATGTCAAAAAAAACTTTTTTGTAACGATCCCTTCTACAAACACTTAGTGGCAGATTAAGTATTCAGATCCTTGACTTAAATAAAACTACTAATAATGAGCTGTAAAAATAGCCTAGCCCACTACATTACAAGTAAATGTACTTTAAGTGTTAGGGTAAAAGCACTAAATGCAGAAAAATGTCCCCTGTGACTGCAAACATTTATTATTACTAATGCATTAATGTAAAAGCAGCTTTTTACTGTTGTAGTTTGTTGAGGTGGAGCTCATTTTAAATAATAAATTAATGATCTTTTTTATAAGGATTCATCTGCTGATTATTTTCTCCATTAATCAGTTAATAGTTTGGTTTGTAAAAAAATGTGAAAATAGTGAGAAATGTTCGTCACAATTACCTAGAAACCAAAGTGACACATTCACAATGTCTGTTTTGTCCCCTGAACAGTCCAAGTTATAAAATGTTTAAAGCTTAATTAAATTAATTTGCGTGAATAAATGATCTGCTGTGTTTTATGTAACAGTAACTGTAACAAGTTGTTGAATCTGTGAAGGTGGAACCATTAAAGATTTCAACATTAGCCTACTTTATCATCAAATAGTTATCAACATATTTCTGTCAGTTTACTAAATGGTCATTATTTGTATCAGTTGTTGGCTAGTTTAATCTATATCATAACATTATCTTACTTTGAAAAGTAAAGTTGAAAGTAGAAAGAAGCATTTAAAAAAAAAGACTTAAGTTAAGCTCAATTACCTCAAATTTGTACTTAAAGGAATACTTCATCCACAAATGACCATTTGTAAATCAGTTAGTCATGCTGTGTCACCTTCTTCCTCCACGCAAAAACTGCAAACATATTGATTTTTTGATTTATTGATTGATTGGGGACCACGTTAAACAGCAGCAAAACTATATCAAAACATCTGATTTAAAACTCTCACACAACACCTGCAGTATAATCCAAGTCTCATTAGTCCACTTGGAAGCTCAGTACTTCCCAAACACATGCTTTTACACTGAAAACCCTCAGTAGCAGAGTCCTGCTTTAAAGAGAGCATAGATAAGTTTCACTCTCAGTTCAGTTTAAAATACTTAGGTTTTTTTTTCCCACAAAATGCATGTGTTTGGAAAGTACTGAGCTTACGACATATTGCGCAAGTTGTGAGTTTGTAAATGCATATTATGAATTAGTTTTGCTGTTAAGCTTGTCCACAGTCAATTGATAGATCAATATGTTTGCCATTTTCAGTGGAGGCATGTAAGAAAAACAAAATATTCATCACAAATTAAAGGAAGAAAAACATGACTAATTCATGTACAAATGGTCATTTTGTGGGTGAAGTATTCCTTTAGGTAGAGTACTGGAGTAAATATACTCTGTTACATCTCACCACTGCAAACACTGAGTATATTTTGTTAAATTCAATGTTCTTGTGCCACTTCTTCCTGTCATTCTGCAGAAGAAGACGACCAGGAGTTGACGTATGCTAATGTCAGGATCGTGCAGCGGCAGGGGATGCAGATGCAGCAAAGGCAGGAGACACAGGTGGAGTACGGCGAGGTCAAGTTCTCAGAGCGACCTCGGCAGCCTGTAGAGCCAGCGGGAGATGACTGTGTGTACGCCAAGGTCCGTAAAGCCAGGTGATTCAGGGTGTTCAGGGTTTTCACAAAGACTTCACCGCACCACTGAAGATGGAGGAAGTGTTTGTCCAGAGGCCAAATACTGTAGTTGTTCATCTTAATTTAACGTGATGTTTAATAGCAAAAATGTAAATAGATATTATTATTCACCAGTTTATGTGTACTTCTGTGTTGACTGTGCATCAAAGTATCATCTCCATCATTTGCATCACAATGTGGCCATTTTTTAATAGACTAGTTTTTGTGGACTATTTAATATGTTCAAGAAAAACAAGACTTTCAATATTTTTTAAATGTGTGCCACAGTTTTTATTCTACTATCTTTATATTTAGATTATGTTGTACTTCTTTTTTTATTGGCTTGGTTTTTATTTATGAGCATATCTACTTTTATTTGATTGTTAAAATGCTGCAAACTCGCAATAATATTAGTATGAATTTTAAGAATAACAGTATGTTTGGTTTTTATCACTCTATGGTGATTGGCAGGTGTCATCAGTACGTTTATGTTGGTCTGTGTTTCAAAGGCATCAAAATTGGCTTTATTTCAGACTTATAAGCATTTACTTAGATGACAATGTATTTATTAAATAGACATGGGTGGGTTAATTGAGGGTTGGAGTATATCAAATAAGTATGCTCCTATGTTAGTGTACATTTATTAAAGGTTTGGTGCGGTGTGTGGGAGTTATTTCAGATTTGATCATGCTACCTTCCATTGGCTGCTTTGCCATAAGATAAGCTTGTAGAGAAATATCTTGCCTCTCAGGAAGCTCACAGTAACCACGTATTTGTTTCCATGATGTAAACACTTCTGCTTTTTTCTCAGTCTTGCAAAACTGTCTTATCAGTTACAGGGGGTGTTTTTTATTATTACCTCATTATATGTGTGACAGTTTCAACAGTTCAGTTCCCCCTTAATGCAGTCATACATAAGGATGGGCTGTGCAGTGTTAATCATCTTTACTCTGATATAAAAAAAAAATAGCAAGGGAACTTGTCTTTTTCAGTAGATGCAGAGACAGATAACACACAGTCTAATTATATTATATCTTAGACGAAGCCTGCAAGAGAACATGCTGTTGCTCAGGGTTTCGATTTAGCAGCAAAAGAGCTGAATCAAAAGGGAGAACTGGGAGGGACACATTTTAAGGAACTTACCAACTTTGCACACTCTGAGCAGTCAGTGTGTATATCTTTTAACATCAGATTTTTTTCTCATTTTAGATGATTTGCTGATATTAATCATTCAGAGTTTGTGTAATTCTGAGCTGCAGCTTTCAAGTCTGGAAGTGGAACTATTCTGCATTGTGGATATTTATGCTAACTGTTTTTGGGTCAATAGAAAGTCAGCTGAATAACAAGTAGATCAATATGTAATTTATAGCGTTTTTCGTGCCTTAGGCAGGTAAGTTAGTCAGACTTAAACAGACAATAATACACAAGAAAATTTAATCTTTTATGTAATGACATTGACCCTTGGAAATGCTGTTTTCGACAATTATTACTGTGAGACCACATCATACAGTACTCGTTGAATTATTCTAGTAACAAATCTAAATACCCCCCAGACTCTTGGCTTTCCTGCCTCCTCCATAATTGGTGCTTGTAATTTGCAGCTTTTAGCTCATAACTTGTAACTTCAGTGTCACATTCACAGATAGGGACTTTCTGCGTCCTTCTCTCAGACTTGGTGAAACATCCTATTGAAAATATCATATGTGCAAATTGCATCTGTGTGCACAAAACCTTTTCACACAATCACACAATATATCCACAGCTGCTAAACTAAACTACTTGTGAACATCATTTCACAAGCTCGAAATATGAATGACGCTTATTTGCTTTCATAGTTGTGCTCAACTGCAGAGGACGTAGCAATATACAGCACGGGCAGAAACAAATAGTTCAACACTTGAAGGCACTGGCAAGTGGAATGAAGTCTTGCATTAAGTTACCGCTTGTTGAAGCCCTAATTTTTCTAGGTTGAATTCTTGACTCTTAGAGACAGAAGAATGTACAAACAAAGCAAATAATAGTAAATATTTTGGAGAAATAACGTTTCATATCGAGTGCTCCTCAATGGTTTTCTGTAGGCTGCCATGGAAGTTAGCATTGCACTGGTTCCCTTGTCAAAAAGCCTGTTGGATGTTGGATAGGCCTAATGTTGGATTATTGCTGAAAATAACCTCTGCGGAAAACAAATATTTACTACCATGTTTTGTTCAGCAAGATAATCTCCACAAATGACCATTTTCAAGATTACTGAAACCTAAATGTAATCGCCAGGGGTAAAAAGCTAATGTTAGGCTATCAACAAGCTATGCTATGGTAGCATGACTAAACGTCACCACCCTAGCAACACTGTAAAGCCGTGTTCGACGTGGCTTAGTGTGATGATGACCTGTAGTCTCATTTAGCCACATGTTGGCAACCGCCTTTGTTAAAATATGTCAAAGCTTCAAAGTTCACAAGCGGGGTATTCACTGACGTACTTTAACTTCAGGCACCTAACCAAAAACCCACTCAAGAAACCCACTGACTTTGAGACGAGGGAACCACGAGTGGTAAAATACTAACTCATTTCCGGGTTTTAAGACTCATTACTGGTGGACTCAGTTGTCAAAGCTGTAATCACATGCTGTTGCATGTGCCAACAGCCTTTTGATATGGGCGTGGACTAAGTTAGAAAGTATACAGCCAAACCTTTGACTGTCAGGCAGAGCACCCTCCTTTTCTCACCTCAGTATCACCATCTAAAAATGGTTTGTAACTTCAGCTTTAACCAAAATAACTTCTTTACAAAGCAGCCATTATCAATTTGTTTTTCCGATGGTAATTTTAGTGAGATTTAATTTTTTATAGGTCATATGAATCCATGTGCTTTTAATTCTTTATTTGCTTTGGATTTAATTAAAGACAGAGGTTACATGTTTCGCGTGGTTTGATAGCTTGAGGTTAAAGGTTGATAACCATGGACTACCATTCAGCTGATTCACAGAGCCATAAAATTGCTGTTTATGGTTCATAAGAGTTGTAGTGTCCTTAAACAACTGCCTGAGAGCTTTTTATTTAGTTGAACCCACACAGTCGAACTTCTGACCGACATAATCTACTGAGCAAATAATTGACAACAAGAATGAAGTGCGATAAAACTGCTCCAAAAATCCAGAATCCTTTTGCCATCTTGTCAGCCAGCCCTACTTTGTTCAGTATGATGATTAAATGGGAACCAAAACTGTTTAGTATTATGCAGCTTTTAGCCTTTTTAATATGTGAACAACACTGAGGTTAGAGTGCTGCACCTTATCTCTTGATAGGTTTGATCGAATCATAACTACAGATTTTTTTTTCCTCATAAAAACCACATGATTTTATCAGTGTTGTTACACATTCATGTGATGTTATCACATCAGGTTGAATTTAGTTAGCTATAAAACCAAGACTGGTGACGATTCTTCAACTCTGAGCACGCCAGTTTTACATTAAAGATATCCATCAGAAGATTTAGGATTTGATTTTTAAAGAATTTGTCAGCTATATGACAAAAAAGTCAATAGTTTGATTCGAAATTGTTGAAGCGTTGAAGTGTAATTTGGTATTTATGCAGTACAGATGTTTTCTGTGGGACAGTGTGAATGTTCAGAAATGCAGTGTTATAAAAAAAGTATAAAAAAGATATAAAGATTTCTGTGAGGAGATCATCCCGCAGTCTGGCCTTTTTTTTTTTTTAATTTGTATTTCAATATACAATTATGGCACAAAACAAGAAGCTTCTCAGGTTGTAATTTCATTAAACTCAAATATTAATTAAATCATTTTGTGGGCAGGTAAAGCTCTATACCACTGCTGCACTTTCTCATTGGTGGCATGAACTTATCAAGAAGCTTTTCTCTGCAGAAATGTTTAAGATGATTGTGGTGCAGTGAAAGCAGATACACTCACAGCTGGTCACTGTGGGTATATCACAGTGCTAATGAACAGAAAATGCAAACCAGATCGATAAACCTGTGGACTGAGAATGCTTTTTATATAATGTGCAGGAAAAGCAACATAAACTTCAGCGTAAACTTATAAAAAATGCAAACACGCTGTCAAGATTGTGTTGAAAGAGAGATTATGGGAACAGCACACACTGATATACGCATGAGTTGCACAAAGTTGGTGGTACAGCGGTTTACTTTGAAAAGACAGCTTTAGCAATCCTCGGTTGACTGTGGTCAGTACTAAATTTACATTGCTACATTTGCAGCTTTTCCTTCCTCTTCTTTTAAAGTGACACGTAAACAGGAACAATCTGAAAGTGTGAACATTTCTAACATGCACAGGGTTGTACTGTAGATACTTTAATGTTTTAGATATGCATACTGTAAGTCCCAAAAGACTTAAAAAACGAACTTTTTTCACTTGAAATACTCAGACAAAGCTAAATGTTTGCATTTAGTGGTTCATGTTTTTAGACCATGATTCATGTGGCAGCAGTTTTTCAGGAAGTGGCTAAACACTTATGTCTGAGCGTGTTATTCCAGTTCCTTGCTGTTATCGCAATGTTTTTGCTAGAAAAAAAAACAACACATTTTAGTTTTTTCATGTCATGTTTGCACCTTCAACAGAAAATGCGAAGTGATGACAGTTGTTTTTTTTTTTTAAATCAAAATGTCATTGCTTTCACTCCTGTTTTTAAAAAAATATTTCTGTGCGTTCACCACTTCCATTACGCCATACACAGCTGCCTTCCTCTCCCCAACTGAAACCCATTAGTTTATACTTTTCAATGGTCTATTCCCATGATATATCCTGCAGCTACATTTCAAAAGAAAGAACATTAAATGCTTGTTTAACTTTGGCATTATCTCTTAAAAGTGTTTTTTTTTTACTCTTCTTTCCTTTGTAAGTAACAAACATAATGCTCTCTGCTCTTTCTCTGGTTCCTGTAAGCCAAATGCAAATAAAGAGATGAGTTAGTATCATTTTACTACCCTTCTGTTTTTATGCTCATGTTTGATTTCAAGATGCATTTCCTCATGCAGTTAAATCAAATTGGAGTTAGGGCAAGGGTAAGCTGAGGTTCCAAGCGGCTCTTTAGCCTCTATCCAGAGGCTGCCTATGTCTGTCTTTAACAAACAAAAATATGGAGAAGATTAATGGTTATTTCTTTTAAACATTTTAATTTTCAGTTATCATTGTTGTAGGCCTTAAGTGACTTTGATTTTCTCCAGTTGTAAAAATGTGTGGCCTTTACACTAAATTAAAAAAAAGATTTTGTCAGCTAAAATGTGCATCATAAGTCTCCGGCCTGGCACTTTTTCTTCTAAATTGGCAAATCTCAAAAGCAGTCCTCAGTCTCCCTACTAGGCTACCGATTGATTCCAAATCCAAAAGAGGAAAAGCCTTAGTGGTAAAATGGACATGGACAGATGTGTTGGTGTCATCGCTGGTGTCAAAGTTTAAGCACCAAATTATCATAAATAGCCCACTGCAGAGTCGTGACTTTGCCATAAAACATATTAATGAATGGTCAGTCAGGCGAATTAGGCTGCGTCACCTTATGGCACAAATGTGTTTTGTGACTCTAGATTTGTTACCCCCCTCTTTACATTTAAAGGTTCGTTCATTTCCATAACCGGTTATCACGTTGGGGGTTGCTGGAGCCTATCCCAGCCGACATTGGGCGAGAGGCAGGATACAGGGTCCAGGCACAGGGCCAACACACGCCTGGCAGGGCCAGCACATAGAGACAGACAACCATTCACACTCACATTCACACCTACGGGCAATTTAGAGTCACCAATTAACCTGCATGTCTTTGGACTGTGGGAGGAAGCCGGAGCACCTGGAGAGCACCCACGCTGACACGGTGAGAACATGCAAACTCCACACAGACTCTGCTCCCCCACCCTGGGTCAGAAACAGGAACCCTCTTGCTGTGAAGTGACAGTGCTAACCAGTAGGGCTGCAACTAACAATTATTTTTATTGTCGACTCATCTGTCGATTATTTCTTCGATTAGTCGACTAATCAATTTAACGAAAAAATGTGTTAAAATGTTGAAAAATGTCAGTCTGTCTCTCCCAAACCCCAAAATTATGTCATCTAATGTCTTGTTTCGTACTCACGCCAAAGGGTTTTAGTTCACCGTCAAAGGAAAGAGTGTAAAGCTGCCAATATATGAACATAAGAAGCTGCAATAAGAGTATTTTGGGATACTTTTATAGTACTTTTCTATGAAAAATGACTCAAACCGATTAGTCGACTACTAAAATAGTCACAGATTATTTTAATAGTCAATTAGTAGACTAATCATTGCAGCCCTACTAACCACTGCACCACAGTGCCGCCCATGTTAAAGGTTGCTGACCCCTAATCATTAGGGGGGCAAGTTTAGGCCTATTTTCATATTAATGCATACATATTTGACCACAGATGGACAGACGCATTGTCACTTTTATCAACCATGATTAAGACAAATTTCAACATCCTGATAAAGAGAGAAGGACTGAAATGCTTTTTCATTGTGGCTTTAACCAACAATTCTTAAAGAAATTTGACAAGTGACAAGTTATCAAGTGAATCTTTGTCCTTACAATCAATATCCTTGTGCTGAAAATGATCCATATTAACACATTAAAGTCCTGTAATTGGCAAACGCCCACCAGGGATGATCAGTGCAACAGATATGTAGTGCTTGTCATTGTGAAAAGCAGGAAGTGCAGCATTATGACATCATGTTGATGTGAATCATCATCATCATTCATTCTGCGGTAAACTTAAAAAAACAAAACACGCTATGTACATATTTCACGCTGTGTCAGTCTTCCATGTGAAATCCACCTAGTACTCCTCTGATACTGTGTCGGACAAAATGTTGCTGATGGGGCTGGTGGTGATGTGGGTGTCAGTGGGTCCGCACAGCGCAGGCGGGGTGGGTGTAGTTGTGGAGGCCTGCTGAGAATGCTGCAGCTTCTTCCGGTTTATCTTCCTCTCTTTGGCACGTCTGTTCTGAAACCAGATCTTCACCTGAGATAGCAACACCAAAAATATATTTGTTAAGGATTTAGATCAGAAATAGCAAATGACAAAATGTTCTAACGCTTTCCTTGGATCTATATCTTGGGCCTTTGTTATCAAGTGTGATATCTTTGGTGGTTGGTGACATGCAGTGAATCGGCTGAACATTCTCCCGCCTCTGCCTTAACTATTTATTGCTAAAGTTTAGTAATTTCCTTTTTGCTCAGAATGATTTTGCTGCACTCAGTTGTGGGTTTGACAAACAGAGTGAGCAGGAGGATAAAACAATATTAACAACAATAATAGCATCGTGAGAGAGTTGCACTCAGTTGTGGGTTTGTCGAGCAGAATAAATAGGCGGATAGAACAATAATAACAGAAATGATTGTGTACTGAAAGTGAGGCAGGGTTTCACCATTAACACTACTTATGCGAGATGTTTTGTTTGGCCACATAACATTATGGTTTATAGAGGTTTCTGCTGTTTCATCTAAAGCTGGTTTCTCAAAATGAGAATGTTAAAGAACTTTCTGCTGATGTGTCCGGAGTTAGTATTGATATCTATATTCATAACAATAAGAAAAATACAGCACCAAGCAACTACATGGACCAATAACTGTACTTTGAGGAGTGGCAGTTTTATTTTCTAATATCACTAAAATATCAAATAATGTAAATCACATGAAGAAAGCCGACCTAACCCTTTCCTAACCTCTGCCCACTACCACCTCACAAAAACATAAAGCAGAAACAAAAGGGATTGTTACACCTCATTTCATGAAAAGGAGGAACTCCCCTTGCAGTTCCTTTGAGTTACTGGCAATCTATTTATTATTGTTTTCCAGGCCCAGTTTTAAAGTGAGCCTACGTAACTTTTGAACTTTTGTAACTTTCATGTCTGATACAACACACCCTTGTGCAACCCAGTGCCATCAGAGATTTTTGTGTAACAACCTTACTAGAGCTGGCACGACCACCAGCTTGTGGTGCATTTACAAACACAACATTTACAGTAAAACTTGTGGCCACAGTGGCTGCTGTTCAGCAAGAGTAACACAATGGGAAGAAAAACAATGTTTTAACTCTTATATTTGGCTTTTCCTGAAACATTTTCTCACAGTATCTTTCAGCAGACGTAGTTTGCAGGAAGGTCATAATAGTGTGTCTACACAGGAGGCAATAGAGTGTTGCAGGATTGAGTCCTAAAACCTGTAAATGAGTTAGCATTTTAGCACTCCTGTTTTCCTTGTCTCGAAGTCAGTGGGTTTGCTGAATGGGTTTTGGTTAAATTAAGAGATTTTCACATTCTGTTCCATGACATAAAATATGTCAGTAAATATCCCACTCATAAATTTTGAAGCTTTTAGGTTTCTTAAAAAAGATGGTCGCTAACATGTGGCTAAATGAGACTACAGAACGTCACCATATTGGACACAGCTTTACAGCCTTGTTGTGTGGTGATGATGAAATAATGCAACCACGGTGTAGTTCATTTATAGCCTAACATTAGCTTTTTACTTCTGGCAATAGCATTAATGCTTAAAAAATCATAAAAGTGGTGTTAATTTCTGCAATAACCCAAAATCCAAAAATTAAATAAGCTTTTTGTCGAAGGAACCAGGGCGATGTTAACTTCCGTGTTGGCCTACAAATAACTATGTGGCTCTCACCTGATTGACTACATGGGTCCTAGTGTCCCCCTGCTACATTACAGTCCCTTAAATAATGACTGTCTTTAACAATGTTAAAGAGTTTGAGTTTAACTTTTCCTCTACATTTGCTCCTGCATATTTCAATCACTAGTGCAATGTCCGTTCAAGAACTGCTCATCCAAACAACTTCACACTTGACACAACTCTTCCTTGAGTCCTGAGCAACACCCCTACCCTGACGTAGCTGCGTCCTCTAGCAGTGCTACAGTATATGCATCATTTGGGTGAAAAAGCTGACACAAACATTTTTGGCCTCAATGAAATCATAGCCCGTCTATTTCCTGGAACAAAAGCGTTCATTCTGAAAATTTGTATCACTGCTGCTTGAAATGTTTGAGTTTGTCATAATGTAACATCTCTGGCCTTTCTTTCTTCCTCTGTTCTTCAATATACTGTAGTGGGCAACAGATGGCGAGCTGAATCCAGCATACCTAACAGTTAATAGGGTCCCCACTCATATCCCTACACTGTGTGTTCTTCTGGCGGTACTAATGCACTACTAATATGTCCCTGTAGATCTCAAGAGCTCACACTTGACACTGCACTTCCTTGGGTCCTCAGCAACTTGCCAAGTGTGAAGTCAATCAGATGAATGGTTGTCCAAAAAATCAAAAGAGAAGAGGCTCCTTCCATTTTGGTTGGATGTCCTGCTTTCATTTGTCTACCCCTTACTTTTCTACCTCTAACTTTAATTTGCTCCAGTCTCACCTGTCTCTCAGAAAGGCTCAGTGCCATCGACAGCTCAGTCTTCCTCCTCATGGTGATATAGCGGTTGTACTGAAACTCCTTCTCCAGCTCCAGGCGTTGCTGGTCAGTGTACACCACCCTGTACTTGTCCTTAGTGCGAGTCTTTGCTCCTGGATCACACAGAAATAACCCTGATTTAGTAAAACAATAAATACAAGCTTGGTTGGGTTCAGTGAATGTAAGTAAACAGGCGTGTTAAACATGATCATAATGTCAGTGAGTCACGTGCACTGTGAGCCAAACAGATGACTAATGTGTGTGTGTCTGGTGCCACGTTCAAGTTCAGGCGCCACTTAAAGCCTCATCAACTCTATTAATCACACTAACTAGAACTAATGTTAAGACTTCCCACTGCGTTGCATCAGTGGTTCCCCTTATCACTGTGAGTGGTGTTTACATAGGTGTTTACACAGGCAGCTATTCATTGACATGCATGTTCACACACGTACACACACACTCTTAGGAAAAGGTGAGTCAGAGTTATTGATCGGGAATCTTGACAGTGTGACAGCATCGATCGAGGCAGACCAGTAAGCAAGCAGGCCTGAGAGTGTCGCCTTTAGTGGAGATTCGGTTTGACTTCTGCAGACTTCCTGTAGTGCTGGTGTTATCTCGCCAGGCTGTCACCCTTTCGCACCCACCCAGTGGACAGAGAGGGTGGGGAATGACATTTCTGCAGACTTGACGGCCGCCACTGTTAGCTTTGCATTGACATCTCAAACCATGCTGGCGGAAGGGAGAGGCGAAAAGCTTGATGAATGTGTGTGTGCAGTCAGTCTGACTTCACTCTGTATGTTGAAATTGTTCCTGCCTATGAATGTGTGTTTTACCATATCTGTACACCCACTCAGCAAATGGCTTTTAGCTTGTCATCATCATGTGACTGCACCAATACTGATGAAGTGATGTTAGTTTGACATCCTTAATGTTAGAGTATTAGGCCTATTTCATGTTTGATTTGTGATCAGCACCAAAAATTTTAATTATTTTAAGAAATAATTATATCTTTACACAGACTATTTATGATTGGCCAGTACAGTGCCTACATGTAACCATGGTATCCAGTATGTAATCCCACCTGTGGCGGATGGTTTGATGGGCTCATGTGGTTTCCTCCTGGAGCTGAAGGGGTCCTGTCCGGTGATGAAGTTGTACGGCGTGAACGACCCTCCTCCAGCGGCGGTGGGCGTGCCGCTCAGCTCCGGGGAGCAGAAGCTGACCTGCCCGGCGCTGGGGCTTGACCCCGGGAAGCTGTACGGATACTCCTCCCGGGGAGCGTAGACGGAGTTCCAGGCGCTTGTCGACGGGTCACCGACTCCCGGGACGTGATGGTAACTGGTGTAGTCATACGGAGGCGGGAAGTACTGACTGTTCAGTGACAGCGTCTGAGCCGGGTGTCTGGCCGACTGTGAGTTGGGGTACATACCGGTGTCCTCGTGCGACAGGTAGGGTGACTCTCAGGTAGACCTCCGTGAATCAAACTACCGGGCGCATGATAGGCCTCCTTGTTTACTCCCAGCAGGCTCTGCTTTCACTTCAGTCTAAGGTTCGGCTACCTGTGCACTAAGACTACACACACCTTTATAGATTTACTGCCGAGGAGTTCAAAAGTATCATAGTGACGTCACCTTTTACCTGAGACCCACCTGCCTGCTCGTCTTGGCGACGTGAGGGCATTGACCTAGGTTTACCCATCCTGCCCTGGTGGATCATTCTGTTAGGGCCATCATGTAAGGTGTGCGTGAGGTGTAGCCTACACGTGCACGCGCATCATGTGATATTCAGCATAGAGATTGTAAATAGAGATATGAGCAGGCTCAGTGGTGGTAATATATATTTTTTTAAGTATTACCACAATGAAAAGCATATTCACAATTGTACCTCATGAATATTATAAGCAACATGAAAAGTGAAAGTATTCATTAGGCAGGTCAGAAGGTATTTCATAAATGCTGAGGTCATGAGTCCAAATTGCCCCATATACTAATTTGCATATTTATCATATTATTTAACTTTTGAATTGTATTTTCTATAAATGTTATCTTCTTACATTTTTTATTATCATTATTATTATTTTTACAACATTGTGAAATATGTGCAATAATTTTTGGAAACATTTACTCCTATTTATTGTATTATTTTTTATTTTGCCTTAAAAAGAGTTAAAATTTAAAATATTCATACTAAAGAAATATCATAATCAACATTAAGAAACCTAGCATGTGAAATATATGTGTATTTGTAAAGTATAAACACATTTTGATGTCATACAACCCCCTTAAGTTCCCAGAATTATTACAGAGAACATGATGATATGGTAGACATAGGGCGCCTGTCAGTTATATAAAGTATATTGCATTAAAGTATTTTTGTTTCTGTTATCAGATTATCGTAACTGACACACTGACACATGGACGCAGTTTCCTCTTGCTGCAGCTATATTGAGGTTAAACTAACATTAATGAATTCATATACAGATCAGTGGTTTAAAGTGACATATTTTCTAAGCTAAGCTATATTTGAAATGTCAAATGTAAATGTATAAAGCAGGAACTGGCCCCGCCAGATAGATGTTTGAAAAGGCCTAATATTTGCCTGCGAAATGTAGTGGAGTAGAAATACAAAGAGAAGAGGCATAACATGGGAAGATGCAAGTAAAGCACAAGTGTATCATAGCTGTACTTTTGTAAAGGTAATCAGTTATATTTCACCAGTGAGAAGACCTAATGTACTGCATGCTCATCAACAACAAGTGCTAAGCACAAATTAGTGGTTCCTCTAACATGCTTCTCTCCACTGGCTGTTATTTTTAAACAAAAGATATCATCAAAAAACAACACAGCTTCCTCTTTTTATTCTCCTAACAGACAGTTCCTTTCAGTAAGATATTTTTCCTAAGGTTAATAGTTCAGAATGCAGGAAGACAAATTTGATATGATTTTATGATGTTATTATTTAGGGGACAGTGAGGTGAGGAACCCAGAGGAAACATATGCAAAAAATTAGCTTGTAATTGTTGATTTTTATGATTTCCATCTGAAAAACAACCTATCCTCACTACTTTCTGTAATGTATAGTTAGCTACAAATGTGTTGCAAATACAGATTAACAGAAGCTGGCCATTATAATCAAGTTTAAAGTCATGGTAAAGTTTTATAAGTTTATTATCCACTATGTCCCTGCTTAAAACAGCCTCACGAGGGCAGCAAAAAACTGAATACTAGCAGGTAATTCACCACAGCTGGAGTCTCTCAGAGATACAGACTTATAGTTTCCAAACATATGATCAGTATGAGCATATTTTTCACTCAAAATGTCATGAATGAAGTATACTGTGTTTTCCATATGTTGAGCTTGTCTTGCGTCTGAGTCGGCCGAACATTCATAAAAGATTCATGCTGGCACGTTGGTCAGAACAGTCATTATCTGCCATAACATCCATCAGCTGTTAGCATGAGACAGGCACATGTTAATGGAGAGAAAAGTGCTACAGGCCTGAACATTAAGTGCAACATCAAACTTATATCGCACAAAGCTTGAAACATAGCCGCCAAGTAAAACAACTTGGATAAAAATAAGGAAATGTGGTTTTAGCACTTACAGTATACATTAGAGCATGTGCTAATGTACAAACTGGACTGTTTGGCTTTACATGCTCCTAAAACTGGCGCTGAAAATGTTCTCAAACATTCAGACCTCCAAAAAGATCCCTATGATGTGTAGCACATGTCTGCTGCTGTGTCCGAAAAATGAAAACCTGAGCTATTTTCAGACTGTATAACTCTTTAATATTTATTTGAACAAGGGGTTACTATAGAGAATGATATGTAGAGATTCGGTTAAAACAGTGCAGCATAAACAGTGCTCCCACTGCTGTCCTTGTAGTCGTCCCAACGTTCAAGTTCATCGAGGGGGAACTAATAAGAGGCTTGTATCCTCTTTTCACCAATTCTAAAAGCTCACATGTGTCAGAAAGAGAGCTGCTGTACTGTAGGTGTCCAGACACACCCAGAGCTTTCATCTTCCACACTCAGGCTTCCTCTACGGCCTATTACAGTCTAGTTATCAAGTGCTAAACATCTACAGCACATCTGTAAGATTCTGCTTCACCAAGACAGTCAAACACTGAAAACTCATTCCAGTTTCAGTTGTTTTATTTGATCATAGAGTGTGAGGCAGTCTGTGTACCCACTAAGAAGTGCCTCAATTTCAATAAGACAGCAGACAAATTTTGGTTTAAGTAATGACTATGGTGACACCATGCAGGACTGCATCAGTTTTCTTTATTTTTTATTTATTTGTTTAACCTTTATTTGACCAGGAAGTCCTACTGAGATTGAAAATCTCTTTCACAAGAGAGACCTGGCCAACGTAGCAACCAATCCAAACACATTTAAAATGCAACAAATACAACATAATGATACAAAAATCCACAATAAAACAACAACAATTCAAACATAGTGGCCTCTCAAGAAAAACAAGCACATGTCTCTGTCACCACATTCTTTATGATGCCTTTAAATTCAACAGGGTTTCTAATTTTAGATCTTTTTTAAGATTGTTCCGTGTCCAAGGTGCAGAGTAGGAGAATGCAGTTTTCCCCAGATGTGTTAAAACCTGGGGTACATTGAAAAGCAACCACCTGTAGCTGGTAACTACCAGAGCTGACACACAGAAGGGTGTCTGTCGGAAGTTTGCCCAACATTGCTTTATAGATAAAAATATACCAGTGCTGTTGTCTGCAAGTGGTCAGCGATGTCCAACCCACCAAATCATAAAGAATGCAGTGGTGAGTAAGTGACTTTGCATTTGTAATTAAAACATAGAGATGCATGGTACACTGAATGAAGGCTACTTAAAATGGAGGTTGCATGCGTATACAATATGTCACTGTAATTAATCACAGACAGAAAAGTAGCATCCACAAGTTTTTCTTAGTACTGAAAGTAAGAGGTTACTGCTCCTGATGCACAGTTATATTTTTCTCTTATTAAATCTTAAAAACCAGATAGAGAAAATGATTAAAGTTGAGTTAGATTCTGTTTAGTCTGAACTCCATCCCACCACGCTTTCCAAACGGCAACATAAAACAGATGATATTTAGTTCTTTCCTGTTTTTTGAAGTACGTATTTTTCTAGCATTTTCTGCCTTTAGTAGACAGTGTGCAGTCAAAGCTGACAGGAAATGAGAGTCAGAGAGAGGGATGACATGCAGCAGAGGTCCCAGGCCGACTCAGACCAGGAATGCTGTGAATAAATGTTCAGTGTCTCACAAACAGAAATCAACACAGCTTTTTTAAATTTCTCTAATTTCTCCTGTTGGGCTTTTAATCCAGTTATGATGTTTTGTATGTAATTGAAACAGTAATTTTCCATTTTTAATATTTATTTATTTATGTATTTTGGTTTATGTTTTGGGAAGTTTTGCCTTTACTGATTGGACAGCCACAGAGCCGCAAGTTGGAACCGAACCTACTGCCTGATATTTTCTTAATTAATTGACGATTAACATTTTTTCCACAAAATCTAAGAATACTGTGAAAAATGCCCCATCATAAATTGTAACAGGAATTTCTATAAGTCAAAAACAGTCAAAAACAAAGCTATTCAGTTTATGATCACGTTAAACAAAGACAAGTAGCAAATCTTCACACTGGAAAAGAACAAGGAAATGATTTTAGCTTGTAAAATTGAGGTTAATCAATTATATATTATATATAGTTGCTGATAAAATTTCATTGTTCGCTAATAAAATAAATTGTTTCAGCTCTAAATTTAATTTTTCTTGTACTGTCCAGTCATGCTGATGGAATAGTGCTGTTTGATTTGACGTTTTTTTTTTTTATCCCAAAATATGTTTCTGAGTTTTAGGTTTGGGCCTAAACAACATCTGCATCAAGTCTTCAGGAGCCTCTGACTGTTACGTCCTTTATCGGTGATCTGACTCCAGATGAGTCATTTTATTGCTTCATCCATCTTCATCTATCGGAGGTATGTTGGGTTCAGCTCCAGGTCCAGGCCCCAGCCCCAGTGTTTCCTGCTTTTAGCTCCCCCTCCCTGCTCCCAGGGGCCTGCAGGGGCCCCGGTCTGTCAGACACAGGGAGATAACTTTTAGCTTTATCCAAAACTCAGCAAAACATAAACACAGAACCAGCATGCAGGGTGATTGTGTCAGATTCTGCCTCTCTGTCTCTGTGTCCAGACACATTTTCACTTCCTTAAACCCAATCACAGCCGTTCTCCTCCTGTCCACATGATGCCCTCTGACTTTTTCCCTTGTCCCAGTCACTGCACTCCCTCCTGCCCTGCAGTAACCTCTTTCCCTTCAGTCCCAGTCACCTGATCTCTGCTCACCTGTTCCCACTTTCCCCACCAGATATTTAATCAGCCCCTTTCTACTCACTCTTTGCCATTGTTGCACTGCACCTTAGCTTTAGAGCCTCTGTTACCTTTTACCCTGAAACCTGGGAATTCCACTTAACTGGAATCTGTATCTGCCTGCCTGCACTTTTTCCAGCCCCTTTGGACTCAATACTACTTCTGTT